TTGCTCTTTGGGTTCTGCCCGACAATGCCTATAGAATCAAAGAGGTCCCAGAGCTGCTGAACGAAGTCCTTTTGACATATTTGAAGACAGGCTTCAGAATTGGGATTTCTTTTGTCCTTGTATAAGAAACCGTATGAGAGCATCATTCCGGTTATTATCTCTTGGGTTGGACTATCAATATTGCGCCCCCGGCCTTTTGCTCTTTTGTTAACCCGGTGCCGGCTGCGGTCTGACCCAACAATTGGGTTGGACGACCCGGGCCTGATAAGGGTACGGCCCGGCAGCAGGAGCCTGATAAGGGAAGGGTACGGCCCGGCAGTTTTCGAGTGGCTTTGCCTGTAGGTTTCGAACCCTCACCTGAATTAAATGAAGATCCGAGGTTACTAGTAGCCTTAGTGCCGCCGTTCACAGTATGGCGCACCTACCCTAAGGTAGTGCGGCTCCTAGGTCCGGTTGGTAAAGGCTTAACTCGTATTCTCTATAGAATAGAGTGAAAGTAACCTTTAATTCTCCCTCACAATTCGGACAACTAGCATTACCCTACACCATGGCATGCTACGCAAATGCCAAATTTTGTCCCGAAGGTGCCTATCTTTCGCCGTGTAACTCGGGAGCCCCGTGTTGGATTTTTCTTTCCTGGCTAAAATCCTTACCTTTTTCTTGTGATTTTCCTCCCCTCACGCTGACCTTTGTAAGGTTACTGGGTTGTTGGGTCGTGTTCCCTTCCTCTCTCTCTGCTGTTGGTGTCGTTGCTACTTTACACCGGGGGGTTACTGTTCTTAAGGCAGGTTCTATCCTGACCTTCCTTGTACTGCCTCTACTCCTGCAGACTATTACTGTATTCTCCTCCTTGCTTCCTGTTCCCACTCTGCATAGTCGGGGTCATTCAACTGCATCGAACTCCCCCTCTTCCTCAGTCAACTCACCGAAAGGTAAAGGTAAAGCCTCCCCGAAACTGCCGGGCCGTACCCTTATCAGGCTCCTGCTGCCGTTCCCTTATCAGGCCCGGCACCGGGTCGTCCAACCCGTTGGGTCAGACCGCAGCCGGCACCGGCCTTACCAGAGCTC